CCCCCGTTCCAGCCCCGTGTTCCTCCTATGAGGAGGATGCTCCTCACCTGCTGGCATTGGATCAACTTCCTTGTTGCCCAAAATCCAGGTACCTCTTCCCAGAGCTCACTCCGCTCTGGCAGCCTCGTTTGCCACGCACCTTCCTTCCCTTCCTTCCAGCTGCCTCGGCCCAGCCAGTGTCTCACTTGGTCCTTTCCAGACAAGTGCAATTAGTCTGTGTGTGGATATGTGTTTCCATGTCTCCATCCTTCCCCCCTCTGCCTTCCCCTTCTCCGGTGGTCTCATCTAGGCGGTAAAAATGCAGGCCTCACACCTCCACCCTTGTCCTTATTTCCCAGACCCTGAACCATCCCGCATTCCCTGAAGACCTGGCAGACGTGGAAATCCCATTGGCTCCTCTGCTCCGTCCCTTTCCTTCTGGACGGCACTACAGACCTGCCGGAAAAGCTGGGGAGGCTCACAGGAGCTGAGCTGCAGCCCTGGGCCCTGGATCTGGAGGCAAATTAAAAAAAAAAAACAAACATTTTTTGAGACAGGGTCTTGCTGTAGGCTGGAGTGCAGTGGTGTAATCATGGCACATTGCAGCCTCAAGCTCCCAGCCTCAAGTCCTCCTGCCTCAGCCTCCCGAGTAGCCCAACCACAGGGGTGCACCACCATGTCCAGATGTTTTTATTATGTTTTTGTAGAGATGGAGGGCTCACTACGTTGCCCAGGCTAGTCTCAGACTCCTGGGCTCAAGCAATCCTCCCACCCTGGCCTCCTCAAGTGCTGGGATTGCAGGTGGAGCCACCGTGTGGCCAGGAGGCACTTTCCATGTTTCCCCTCTGATCTTGACACTGATCTTCCAGGGTGAACAGAAGGGTCCCCATTTCACAGAGCAGGTTCGGTGGCATCCCATCATGATGCAGGTGGTGGAGAGCAGGATGCCGCTGCGAAGCCCATCTCTCCCACCCCTGAGCCTCCTGACTCCTCCCCTCCAGCCTCACGAGTTGGCGACTCCAGCTTTTCATGTTAGCAAAAGGAGTCACGACCTCCCCCCGGCCACGACCACAGGCCAATTTTGTTTCCCATCACTTCCTGTCCCTGTGTCCCCACCGGACCAGGAAGAGGACAGTCACAGCCTGGGTGCTTAACTTGGCACTGTGTGGGTAAAGCATGCAAATGACTGAGCTGATCAGAGCCTCAGTTTCCCCAGGGGTAAAATGGGGGTAACAACATCTTTAGGTAGAGATGGGAGGTGATTTGCAGGGTTCAACACCCATTCCAGGGCCTGAGAAATCATACCCAGTGCCACCTCCTCTGCTCACCCCTCTTCTTTCCCTCAAGCCTTTCTCTTCACTCTTGGACTGCACTCCTGTGTGGCACCTGACAGTGATGGCCATGCATTTACGTGCTCTGTCCCAAGACGGGCTCCTTCCCATCCTGCCCTCCCTCCTGCTGCAGACCTGGCAGGCCCAGAGGAGGAGCTCAGAAAAGGAGCAGACAGCACCTGCTCTGCACGTCCTGAACTGGAGTCTAGGCCATGCAGTTTCTGCGTAACGGTTTCGTGGCAGAGGCAATGCCCGCAGCAGCGCAGAAACGCCTCCGTCTCTCCACCTCAAGAGGCACTTTGTGAAGGTCCTCACATTGTGTATTCTGGCTCTTTGCTCACTGGGCTGTCTTCTATCCACTTCATTTCCCATGCGGCTTCGATAGGGAGAGAAGCTGACCAGCAAAATCCCAGGCCCCTTGGTCCACATCACAGATCTGATCAGTGGGAGGGCGTTGTTGAGGATGGGGTGGTTTCACTACAGCCTCACCCATCTAACAGGGTGTCCGCCAGCTATTATTTCTCAAAATAAATGCAAATCTGGTGACCCACTGTGAGTCTCTTGGCTCAAGCAGCGCCTGTCCTCAAGGGCAGTCTGTTCCCGTTTTTGCTCTTGGAATCAGGATCAGAAATCTGGGCAGCTGCCTGAGCCCTGGAGAACACCCCTTTGACCCTGCAGCAGGGAGATGACAAAGTCACGAAGGCTCAGAGACAGTGGGGACCATGCATCTTACCGACATGGAGGTGCTCAGAAGTTAGGGGGTCCAGCAATTTAGATGGGAAAAATGACATTAACTTCATGATCTCCAACTGAAATGTAGCATTTCGTTTTACTATAAATGTCGACAACAAAATAGGAACTTTGTCATTAATTTAAAAATCACAGATATTTTCATCACATTATTGCAGGTTTTTCAAAACATTGTTTATGCTCATCACTACTTTATGGCAGCAATTAGACAGGAAGTCTTGTTATTTAATGCATTAAGAAGCACATATTAGGAAAATATTTTGATAACTGTGTCTCAGTATAATTAGTCTTCTTTGTAATCCCATGTAATCAATGCGTTTTATTCATTTGAACACCTGCTGAGAGGAGGTCTGCGTTGGCAGCCCACGCCGAAGGAGCCCATGACATCAACAGGGTAAAGAGGCTCAGCAGGGTCTGCGACTGCCTCTCGCAGGACAAAGGAATCCTGTGACCACGCCGCCACCCCTGTCCATCTGCTGCCACCAGAATCCTTCCAGTGATGACAAGGTGTGGTGGGCACTGGGCTGCTCAATGAGTAGTCGTCCCTTCCCTGTCCTCCTTGCCAGCAGAACCCACTTCCATGACAGGGGAGGACCTGGGACATTAACTGCTCCCGACTTCCCAAGGACCCAGCTCTGAGCAGTGGGACCTGGGAAGACTAAGGGGTGGGGAGTCTAAGGGGTGAGGTGGTCATGGGCAAAGATGCATCTTCCCTCAGTCAAAAAACAAAGATGCCCAGGAGGAAGCATGCTCCATGTTAGTTGAGTGATAAATGTTGTACATCTGTCCACTCTAAGTCTCATGTTGAACTTTGACCC